TATAAGGATCTCTATAAAAGAAAAATTGGACATCAAAATACATTTTGAAGTTTTGAAGAGAAAAAATAGCATAGTAATGACACTCATAGAAAGGATAAGTCAATAGATGTATGTAACTCGGTTTGGTACAGATTCAAGTGGTGTTCTCTCCATTGAAGTAAGGAATTAGATGCAGTGATTAATCAATTCTAAACTGAAGTTCATAATATTATGCGTCCTCATACAGTGTTACTTTTAATTTATGGGCATATCTAGACTCAACTTCCTCATATTATGTGTCCTCATAAAAGAGTTTATTTCCATTTATGAGCTATATGCTAGAAACTATCTCATATGAGAAACACTGCAACATGTGAAATACTTGTCTTTGGCATTATGAAGTTAAAGATGCATGATAATGTGATGAGGATACATTAACAAAAGCCAAGGATGTACTAAAACTGAAGAAAAATCTTGTATTTGTTAGAGCTTCAAGCGAAATAAGATGCAAACTTTTAAGAGATGCTCAAGTGCTTAAAGTTTGTAAGGGTGCATTGGATATAAAAAGAAAGTCAGCGAACTCTACAGGAATGCAAATTCGTGGGGTGGCTTTTCAATTTCATCATCGATAAAGGAGAATCATGACTTGCTTAAGCAAAAAAGAGATATGCTTTAAGGAGGCAATTCAACTTTTGGAATAGAAGAGGTAGAGGCGAAGACAGCTTGAGCTTGTTAGGTTAGTTGATCTCATATTCAATAGCCTGTCCCAAGGCTAGGTCATATCAGTGTGTCATTTAGAACAAGAAGACAAACACTAGAGTTCAAATATATATAGCATGTTCACTTTTGATTTTGGCAAATCCACCTCTATGTGTAATCATTATCCATCAAACTTCTCCAACAGTGTTAAGTTCAAGCATCATCTGGGCTATGTGGCTCCATCGAGCTTATTCATTTGAAGCATTTAGAAGCTAAGAAAGCTTGATTTGGAAAGTTGTTATAGATAAAATCAAGAGTTAGTTGCCAAAATACTAAGGGGGAAAATCTGTTTAGGAGATTGCCTCAAATTAATAATAAGACCGAAATAAATCAATCTGACAAAAATATTAAGCATAGTTTGTTGTTCCATTAGTTGTATAAAGGAAATCATTGCATAGGATTTGGAATTTAATGAGGCGATAAAGATTTGCAATGGCTTATTAAATACTTAAAGCAACTTATTATATAAAAAATATCTCTTAGTTATTGAAAAAATGGTTGTGACATTATTTTGGTTTCACGAAACAAGTTTAGCTTAAGGAATTTAATGTTCTTGACAGGTTTACAATTCAAGTGGCAGGCCATGAATATAATGAACCAAATGAGAAGCAAGCTTGCAGCACATGCTCTTTGAGAACAAGCTTAATCAAGACACAAGATATACATAAATTACTTAATAGATGTCCCTTTTTTCCCCTTATACATCCATATTAAAATTGCTTAGTTTAGGTGCTCAGGTCAATCTCAATGATTGAATACAGTTAGAAGGTACAATGGCTTAAGGAATCTATAAAAACTATTTTAAATATATATATACACTTTCTAAATCAATCATGTATTTTATTTAAACAAATATTTTACAAATAGTTACAATATTAAGTCATTTTCAAAGCAATTCATTGTGATATGATTCAATGTGCATGCACATTGAGGGGACTACGAACACCCACGAGTATACATTGAAAAAATGACTATTTTCTTGATGGTAAAACATGCATGTCCACACATATCTGTGATACATATGGTATCAAAAAGTTGCTTTATAAAGGTTAGTTGACCATTTTGTGGAGTTTTGAGATCAAGTAAAGGAATTTGTATTCATTATTTCTATGTAATTTTTCTATAAATATGGCTTCAATCTCAACCCAAATAAAATCAAGGTAAAAGAGCTTAAGTGTTATATCATGAGTGGGGGTTTATGTTTCATGACAAGTTTTAATTGAGCCATAGTTCCAATTCTTTCTCTTCTCAATCATAGTGATTTTAAATGTTTTTTATTCCAGTTTTTGTAAGGATTAAGTATCCTGTAGTGTTATCTACAAAGTCATCTACTCAATAAACCATAGGGAGAATTTGGAGTTGCACCTTTCCCAAGAATCAATGAGCAGGTTCTCCTAACTCTTTAAGGATAAGAGGGAGCAGCTCTACTCGGCAAGTTAATGAGACAAGAAGGTATATAAAGCTTCTATATTAGCATTGTGCAGAAGATGTGGAAGTGTATTTCTAAATAGCGAGGTGCTTGAATCATTATATTATTTCTTTATTTTTCTAGCATTTAGTTAATTGTTCTTTACGCCTAAGTTTATCCTACAAATTTTCTGTTATTGTGATTGAGTGGATCTATATTGTTGTGCTTAAAATGATTATTGTTCACACTTGTAGCATTATACTCTTCATCATCAGATTTTACAGTCTAGCATTATACTCATCCTATCATATTATAGAGGGTAAGATTGATTAATGTAACGATTATTATGATATGATGTAATTGTAGGGTAGTGATGTTGTGTAGGAGGTGATCCATATTCACTAGATCAAGGATCAGCCATATAACCCAAATGAATATATGTAGCCGAACAAGAAAAATATTTATATTTATAAAAGGAATTTGATTTAAATTCAAGATAATGCAATTATTCTAAATGTGCCCACCATGCATTCATGACATGATTATAGAGCTAATGTTCTATGACATGATAATGTTGTTTTTGTTGTTATTAGCTTGGCACTGCAATAGGTATTATAACACGTGCGGCATATGCAGCATATTTTTGAAACTATGCTATGTAAATGAAGACTTAGTCTATTTGATAATATATCACTAGTTAAGCCATGTGTGGTCCAAGTTAAGAAAGTTTCAGAAAAGGAAGCTTGGGGAAATTAAGGAAAACATATCTTGATTTGATTTAATGCCAAAGATGGAAACCAAATATGAAGGATATTTGATAAGAAAAAGATGGTGGCAGGCTATGGCCGATATCTTTTAGGAAAATGGAGATCTACCTAAATTTTGGAAAGATATCAAGTGGTAAATTTTACCAAATTTAGTGTCTTGGGGAGGGGTGGTAGAAAGTGATGATGCAAAATTCAAAACAAGAATTTGAGATTGTTTGGGTTGGCAAAGAGATTAAATGATTGTTTCTGAATATATTAAAATTTAAAGGGATGGTAGATCATGATTAGAAATATCTCATTCAAATTTTATTAAATTTAGAGTTGATTTAAGAGGGTAAACAATCCAAATAGTAAAAGAGTGATAAAAAAAAAAAATCTGGCTAGGGTTTCACATTTTAGGATTTTCGTGAATGATTAAGCCAACAGGTTGGAGAGGGATTTTGGGACATGCAAAGGAACAATTTTGGCAGTGGAAAAGAAGAGGAGATGATCTGGAGTTGGGGGTGTATGGAGGTGTATCTTGAAAGATGGGGTGTATTTTAAAAGCAGCAGTTTTTGAGTTCTCCTTCAAAAACCATCAATGGTTCTTCTCTCTAAAATCAATTAAGGCAAATAGAACGCAATAGAAAAATTGTTGGGCATTATATAGTTTGAGAATCTGAGCAAACAACCCAAAGGAGAGAGGATAAAGGGAGAAAGGGTTGCTATGTGGGAAAGACAAGGAAAACATAACATATAGTAGAAGGAAGTGAAAAGGATGCTTCAAGCCAGCATGTTTTTATTTCAATATTTTCAATTTCCTAATACAATCCTAAGGCGTGCAAATAAGAATCCTCTTGCATAGATACTACAACATAAAATGGGATTAATAGAATAAACCATAGCATAAGCAAAACGTAAGTGACAAACATAAAATATTCATGATTCTAAACCAAAGACATGTGGAATAAGCCATGAATATAGATTCAAACATAAACAAAACACAATTCATCCCATCAATGTTCTACATTAACGAGCTTCTTGCTTTATGAAGTTAGAAATTTTTGTTATGAATTTCAAACGAGTTGGAAAATACAAAAAATAAATAAAGGTACTTTCTTTAGTTTAAAATCTATAAATAATCAATATTTTATTTAATTCCAGTTTTCTTTCTATATCATAGTTACTCATTGAAAATACCCCTACCTAGGGGTGAAACCCAATTAAGCTTATTCATTAGTAAACTCAAGCTCTCCTCGATAAATGGATCCTAAGCTGAGCTGGATGAACTAATGAGCCAACCCCGACTCGATTAGTCAACTCGTGACCTGATTCATTTAAACATGTAAATATAAAATAACCCTAAAATACAATACAATTCAAGATTTTAAATACAAAATTATTAGAAATATAAAAATTATCTCTATTATCTCAACTGATTACTCATTAGTCCGACAATAATTCATTTTTTTATCATTTTATTACAAATTACTTGAATTGAATTGATTATTTCGTAGCATATTCGCGTTTAACAAAATTTATAGGAGAGGATTTCCTCATGAATTTTTCACGGATCATATAATACAACTTCACTCCAATCCTTATTCTTAAGGATTTTGGTTTTTTTTTTTTTAATAAATACAAGAAGTAGAGCATAAACAAACAAAAATAGTTAATTTTTCCTAAGAAAAAGATATTAAGGGAGTTCTAAGCAAGTCTTCCACTTCCCACCTGATGAAACCTTTTCCATAGTAAGGCCGTAAGTAAAACTCATTAGATGCCCTAATTTAGAAATCAATCACCAGCTCCACATGACAAAATCATCTTCAGAAGATCAATCAAGTACCCAGAAACTTCAAAACAAGATGAAAGCATAAACTAGATGGCAATGATAAGACAAAAAACCAACACAATACAGAACATCATATAAAACATCACCCTAGGAAAAAATTAAGTATGATCCAGAACTCCGTGAAAATTTTGAACCAGTTGAAATTCACACGGACCCTTCGAATAACTAGCAAACTAAATTCTAAACATAGAAAATTGTAAACACAAAAGATCAGTCAAAATAAAAGTGCAGAAGAAAAAAAGGAAGAACAGTCAACCTCTCGGCCGGAGTGGTGGTGGCCACCGCCGGAACCAGACGCCGACGCCTTAGAATCGGAATCGTCGGCGGGGACTCCGCCAACAGGAATCAGCAGTTCACGATCTCTCTCCCTGTTCGCCATCACCCGGGGTGACCTGTCGTCGCCCATCAAACGCTCAGATGTCTCCTATGCCCTTTCTCCTAGCTTAGTCTCTTTCAATCGAAGCATTTTTTTTTTCTTAGTCCGAAACAAAGATACAGCAGCTGAAAGAAAGTGAAATTTAGGGCGGATACTAATTTCGTGAGTCAAGCCAACTCTTGGGTCCAGCCGATTAGCGTGTACCTTAGTCAAACAATGAGTTAAATCGTTTGAGCCAGCTTCAACTTAACTCATTAGATTACGAGAAGACTATTTTAATATATATATAAATTTTGTTGGAATAGAGTAATTTTATTATGTTTAAGAAATATAAAATTAAAATACAATTATTAAAACCCATTTTTTTTAAATGAATTAAAAAACTTGAGTACTATTTTTTAAAATAATTTGAAGTAAAAAATTGTGTTATTAAATTTTATTAAAATCTTTAAAAAAATTAATTTTTTTGAAAAATGCCAATTAGAAAAATAAAATAATTTTTAGGAAAAGATAATTTAATTTATATTTAATATTTTTGAAAAAAATAAAATTTTAAATAATTTATTTTTGGATAAATAACATTACTCGAAATATCTTATTTTCCATAAAATAAATAATTAGAGTAAATTAGGGTAATATTTATGTGAGCAAATGAGAAAAAAAAAATGTTAAATTATATAAATTAAAATTTCTTTAAAATAAGGTATAGTTAGAGTGAAATGTATAAAAATACTTAGCATCTTAAATTTGATAGTCTAAATAGACTATTTTTTAAACAACCATACCTTAGCATCTTGTCAAGAAACATGTTTCTCTACCTTAGCATACTTGATACGTCCCACCGTGTTTGTTAGTTATTTGTTAAAATTAGAGGTATGAATAGAATGTATTTTATGTGAATTAGTAAACTTTTTATAAAAACTTGTTAGTGTGAGATATTTCAAATATAATCAATAAAAATAAAAATAAATATGAAATAATTATAGATATGAAATCAAAGTATTGTATTTCTCATAAGTATCCTATTTAAATTTAAAATAATATTGTTATTATTGATTTTAGTTATTTATAAACTTGTGAATAATATTAAGATACATTATTAAAGTTATGTTAATTGTGTGAAGTAGGTATTGAGAGATCGATGAGAATAATAAGAATAAAATAAATATAAAGGAAAATCTATAAAAAATATTTATAATTTAGAAGTAGGTTTAATTGATTTAGATATTTTTAGGTTATCATTGTTATATTTAATAATAATTAAAAAAATGATTAATGATGGCTGGTGCTATGAACCTGTAGAAGCAAAAAAACTAAAAAATTTGGAATAAAAATAGTTCGAAAAGTAATCAACATAAGTTCATGTTAATACATACGATAATGATTGAAAGCAACATCAAAAAAATTAGTATTGCATGTGGCTCAGTACTATGCGCATACGCGCTTGGAGTTGGGTTAAAGTTGGACAGCATAAGAATTTTTTTGTGAACTGTTTTTGGATGTATTGCCAATCTTTTATATTTAAAAACTCCTTCTTTTTACCATCTATAATATTCAGCTCTTGATATTTTTCTGATAGAAATGCATCTTAATAAGTATGCCACCTTTTATAAAGAATACAATGTTGCACATCAGTTCTTGGATTCTCAATATTGACCACAACAGAACCATCTTTTTTCCGTGTGATTTCACCAATTCTTGTCCTAAGAATATTCATGGGAGCAAAATGACCATTATGATCCCTAAACCTTTGTTGTACAAATTTCCAACCCATATCAGTAATTGTTTCTCCATCCACATACATGGGATAATGACTTTTAATAACTTCATGATACGTATCCCATAAACTATCATCTTCATACCAAGACCATTCATGTAAACAACATTGAAAAATTTCATTTGATCTTGATTTCTCCTCCAAGTATTCATCCATGGGATACGACATAGATTCTGTCAATCGAATAGTACCATCATAGATCAACTTCTTTCTTGGAATAATATGTAGGAAATCCCTTGATGGTGAGCACTTTATTGATAAGGTCCTTGATAATGATGACATTATGTGCTGAATATTTAGCAAATGCAATATGAGTTATCATTATAAAAATAATAATACATAAAATTAAAAAAAATGATTTGAGAAGTAGAGTCACATTAATAAAACAAATTTTAAAGTTGAGTAACAATTAGAAACAAAAATATTAAGCATCAATATTACAAGATGAAGTACATTTTAAATTTATAACGAAAGAACAACATAAGGTATATTTTCGAAGTTATTGATTCATATTGTTAAGTAGATATCGTAGACGATTTTGGATCTGTGTTTGTGTAGGACAACACTTGAAGTCGATCTGAAATTGTTGTTGTATTTGCTGTCAATCTTCTCCATTAAGAAATTCCTTTGCTTTAGCATGTTTAGAACTTCGCAACAACTGTTTATAAGAATCTAACATGTGCTTGTTTTTCCTGTAGTGAATGACTTTTAATAACTTTATGATACGTATCCCATAAACTATCATCTTCATACCAAGACCATTCATGTAAACAACATCAAAAAATTTCATTTGATCTTAATTTCTCCTCCAAGTATTCATCTATGGGATACGACATAGATTCTGTCAATCGAATAGTACCATCATAGATCAACTTCTTTCTTGGAATAATATGTAGAAAATCCCTTAAGGTGAGCGCTTTATTGATGAGGTCCTTGATGATGATGACATTATGTGCTGAATATTTAGAAAATGCAATATGAGTTATCATTATAAAAATAATAATACATAAAATTAAAAAAAAGATTTGAGAAGTAGAGTCACATTAATAAAACAAATTAGAAGTTGAGTAACAATTAGAAACAAAAATATTAAGCATCAATATTACAAGAGGAAGTACATTTTAAATTTATAACGAAAGAACAACATAAAGTACATTTTTAAAGTTACTGATTCATATTGTCAAGTAGATATCGTAGACGATTTTGGATCTGTGTTTGTGTAGGACAACACTTTAAGTCGATTTGAAATTGTTATTGTATTTGCTGCCAATCTTCTCCATTAAGAAATTCCTTTGCTTTAGCATGTTTAGAACTTCGCAACAACTGTTTATAAGAATCTAACATGTGCTTATCATGGTCAGGCGTCCAGTAAGAGTATAAAATACAATTATCTATATCCATCATGAACCTTCCCAAACCCGGTTCAATGTCACCGTTTTTAGCACGACAAAGTTCTAGAATTCGACCTTTCAGGAAATCTTTTGCCACAAGGTGGTGCTTAAAATTGGTAAAGCCTTCTTGTATACATTTCCAGCCTAACTCTTGACGTGCAGGGTTACCTCTATATTCCTTCTCTTTCATCGTATCATCGTGTAAGTGCCATAGTAAGAAATATTCATCTTCATCCCAAGTATGTATAACACACCTGAATAGTTCATTTGATGATACCCTGGCTTCAAGGTCCTCATCGATAGGATAAGATAAGCTTTCACGCACCCGGATGGTACCCTCTGTAATCCATTATTTGTTTTCGACACTGCTGCTAGCATCCAAACTTTCATTTCTTGTTACTTTTGCTTCTAGGAGATCATTTGTAGTATAAGTCAAACTTTCATGTAAACAGGTACTTCCTTCTTCTATCAGTTGCTGTGTCGGTGCACCCCTCATTGTTTCATTAATCGAAGAGTACATTTTGTAGTTATGAAGTTGCTCTTCCTTAACAACCGTTATCCTATGTTGAATGGAGTAAAAAATGAGGTGAAATTACTTAAGAAAATGTGGACCCTATTATAAGAGCTAAGGTTTACAAATACATATTGGAAAATGAGTTCTAGTAAAATTGACTTAGTGAAATAAAAAGTAATTAAAGTCAAAAAAGAAATTTAACTTTATTAATAATCATAAATAAGAGTGCATAAAATAGTAGATATTAAATTACGGGTACAGTTTAAACTTAGTTGTCACCAAACATTCACATTTACACTCACACACAAATGAAGAAGGCAACATAAATAAGAGAAAATATTATTACAGATTATCTATCGATGACGCCGGAGAGCCCTACTACCAGGAGTATACCAATCTGAGGCCCTTCTTCTTCATCGTTGTAGCTGTTGCTCTTCCTCAATAAAATCCTCTTCTTGTTCTTGAAATTCTGGTTGACGTTGTGTCGCAACAGGGTACTGTTGTGATGTTTCTCCTCCCCTTAATAGTATATCTTGCTGTGTGGGGGAGGACGGTAACCCTATATTTTACATCCACTCTGGGACTGTAACTGGAAAAAATGATTGCGTTTTGGGATGCTGAGATGGTGTACCATAATATATTTCATGTGCAGCACTTTCTTGCATAGGAAATGTGCTCCAATGTTGTGTTGATGGCCCTGCCCCAGTCATGTCATAGGAGGACGACGGAATATGCATTGAATGTCTAGGTGTTTCCCACTCTGTATTTTGGCGGCGGCGACTTCTCATGGATTTAGAAGGAGCATCAGAGGTTGACCGTCTTGCTCCTTCAGCCCTAGCTTGACTCCGTTCTTCTATTGTGGTGTCAAAAGTTGTATAGTCGATATAAACTGAACGTTGCACTCTAGAAGATAATTCAGCTACCTAGTCAACTGCTAATTGTAATGAACTTACATTTTGTCCTTGACCTTCAACCAATGGCTCTAGAATAGCAATTGAACGTATGTAGTAGTCAGCCTATAAGATGTGATATGTTTGTTAAATTATCCTCTTTAAAGAAAATATTAAAAATTATTATTAAATAAACTTACATACCACTAATCATTCTCCTGGAGATCGAGGGAATAAAGTCTCTGGTGGATCCATCTGTGGCTGCAACAGATAAATCGATGCCTATAATCTATACCACCGTAGGTAAGTGCCTAACTCCCTATTACCTGTGCCTTCTGGTGGAGTTATTGGTACAATATATGCTCGCCTTTCTTCCCATATCTCAAGGTAATCCCGATACTGAATAGTCCAATCTAAATCTGCTCTACCTCTTTCATCAATCCTTCTAAAATTTGGTTCTATCGGTGGAATATCAGTTAATTGTACTCTCCCAAATTGCCTCATAACACGGTCAGGTAGATGCCACTCGGTACGCTTCCAGCTAATAAGGGGAACTCAAGCT